GCCGAGAGCCCAGCCAGGCGCAGGAGAGAAGGGCGCTTGCAGCACCCACCCAGATGGGCGGCAGGCGAGGCAGGGGGTGCCTTGGGAGTCCTCTTCTGCCTGCTTCTGCTTTCTCAAGGTCAGCAGTTGACAGTGAAGTTGGGGAAGGGGGTGGGGCGGTTTGGGGAGAGAAGGTGTGAGAATTCCCAGGACAGGGAGATGCTGAAGGGTCCACAGAAGGATCGCTGGGCTTCCATTTGGGATCAGGAGCGTGAGTTATGGAGAGACCAGTCAGCAGGGCTGTGTGTTTTCTCCCGCTTTGCTCCGCTGCGTGGGTGCAGGCGTGGGGTGGGTGGAGCCGTTGGATCTGGCCAGGTTTGTGGCTTAGCAAGAGCGTGTGATGAGGTAGGGGGGTGTCAAGGCAGTGGAGGGTGCAGACGGGACCACAGAATTTGAGCCAGGAGCAGAAGGCAGTGAACCGTGGCAGGCGAGGGACAGTAAAAGGGTGGCAGGACCCGTGGATTGAAGGTCCTGTGGGCTGCGAGGGTCCCTGGAGATGGGGGTCCGTGTGTGTAGTGTTGGAGCCCAGACTGCGGAAGGGCCTTGGGGATATTGGTATTTAATACCTCTTAAAAATAAACACTGGGAAGGCCAAGAAAACACACCTACACCCTGAATGTAGCCAATTTCCTACCTGTGTCCCTGGTGGCTTTGCCCACACAGACATCTCCTTCCCCCCGATCGATGCTCCTGGCTCTGGGCCCACCTTTCTTGCCCAGCCTCTCTCCTGAGCTCCAGAGCTGCCGTGCCTGCTCACCGGCTCCTCCACGAGGACTGCACCAGTCCCCAAACTCACCATCTTCCCTCGGGCAGGCGAGATGCTACTACTGGGACACGACAGGGGCAAGAGCAGGGCCTGGTTCCTGCCCCGCACCAAGCCTCTCTGTGCCCGGCTTTCTCTTCCCCCTGGATGCCTCTTCCCGGTCTGCTTCTCTCTGTAACACTGCCATGCCATGGTCCAGACTGCCTGCATCTCTCCACTGGACAGTGGCTGTGACGTCCTCCAGGGAGGACCTCAGCCCCAGCTTTCTCACTGTTCTGGTCTATTTTCCATATACTGCTAGAGTGACCTTTATACAACCCAAACTTGACCACATGCCTCCTTGCTTAGCACCCTGGAAGGTTCCTCCATGCCGGACTTCCTACCTGGGCCCACAGGCCCCTGCATTAGTCAGGGTTCTCCAGAGAAGCAGAAGCAACGTGCTATATGTAGATACACAGGGGAGATTTACTAGGAGGGACCGGCTCGTGTGATATGGAGACTGAGACGTCCCGCAATCCGCCATCTGTAATCTGGAGGCCCAGGACAGCTGGTGTCGTAGCTCCAGTCCAAACCCAAAGGCCTGAGAACCAGGAGAGCCGATGGTGTAATTTCTAGGGTAAGTGCGAAGGGCGGAGAACCGGTTGCAGGTGCAGGGGGAGTCGATGTCCGAGGGCAGGAGAAGGTGGATGTCCCTGCTCAAGCAGAGAGTGAATGCACCCTTCCTCCGCCCTCTTGCTCTATTTAGGCCCTCAACAGATCAGATGGTACCTACCCACATTGGTGAGGATAGTCTTCACTTAGTCTACAGATTCAAATGCTAATCTCTTTTAGAAACACCCTTGCAGAGACACCCAGAAATGATGTTTAACCAGCCCTCTGGGCATCCCTTAGCCCAGTCGAGGTGACACACAAAATTAACCATCGCGGCCCCACTTCCCACTCAACACTCAGGCCATCCGAGGTCTGCAGTCACCTGGGTTCCTCTGGACATGCTTCTCCCAAGCTAGGCTCAGACCTGTTTGATGATGGGGACTGCGTCTTGTTCTCTATTTTGCACAGCCTCATAATTAGTAGAAACTCAGTAAGTATAGGATTGACTGAACAAAAGTAATGAATTTGACATTGGAGGACCTGGAATTTAAGCCCACTGTGGCTTCTTTGCTGAAGGCAATTCCCCTTCCCTCTCTGAACCTCAGTTTCCTTAATTATAAAACGGGGCTGACCTCTGGCCTGCCTGCAGCACAGGGTGATGATGAGGGTCAGGCGAAGTCTAAGAAATGTGAAAGCCACTTCCAGGTCTGTCTTAGGTCAGATTCCCAAGGAAACGGGCTGCGAGGTGGAGGTGTGTGAGCAGATGGCTTACTGGGGTCAATCTAGGAGGGAGTGAGGGAAGCAGGATTGGGCAGGGGAGGGGCTGAGCTGCAATGCAGTCATGACAGAGGCCTCAGCTTGTCCCCTGGGAGCTTGAAAGCTGAGGGCCCTCAGCATCAGTCCAAATTGAGGCAGAGGGACCAGGTTTGTGCCCCATATCTATCAGTAACTGAATGTGGGTAGCCCCTTGGGGGCGGGTGTGACCCTGGTCAAGCAGCTGCCTTCAGCTGAGAGCAGCTCCCAGAGAGGGCTCAGCGTTCTGCAGCCAACACCCCCAGAGGCTAAGGCACGAGTGGCCTAACCCTGGGAGCCTGGACGGCTCTAGAGCTTAACGGCTGTCAGAAAGCCATGGAAGTGTCAGGGATCCGTGTCATAAATTCACAGTCTCCGCCATCGCCTTAATGATCTGCCCACCCAGCTTCCACATTCCTGATCCTCTTTCCTTGCTCACATCACCCAGCCACTCTGCCACCTTTCCTGTTCCTCAAACACCCCTACACAGTCCTGTCTCTGAGCCTTCGCCTCTGCTGTTCCCTCTGCCTGGAACACGCTTCCTCCAGATACCGCACGACTGCTTTCCTTACTTCCTCTGGATATCCCACAACTCATTTCCTTACTTCCTCCAGCTCTCTGCTCCAATGTGCCCCCCACAGAGAGACCTTCCCTGACTGCCTAGTTTAAGATACCACCTCCTGTCACTCTCTGTCCCCTTGCCCCACTTCATTTTTCTCCCAGCATGACAGCTGCCTGAATCATATATTTTTATTTCTCTTAATTGTCTGTCTCTGCCACTAGGTACGGCCCTTGGGGGGTATGCCCTCTGGGGATGGGGCGGGGGCCACCTGCCTTGTGCCACACTCTCTATCTCCAGGCTCATCCCTTGGGATGTCCTCCCTTCCTGTCTGTCTTGGCCTCCTGCCCCCTTCTGCACTCAGAGCCCCCACCCTGTCTGCACTGTGCTCCCTCTCCAGGGGCCTTTGTACACACCTTTCTTCAGCAGGTGGCGTGGACTTTGCTGAGAAGTTGACGTCTCAGATCCTCTACATCCTGGCCGTGTGACTTCAGCAAGTCGCTCAGCCTCTCGGAGCCTCAGTTTCCTTCAGTAGAAAATGAGGTCACTGTCGACCCTACCTTAGAGTTCAGTTATGAAAAATAGATGCACTTCTCTGTATCAAAGCACCCAGCTCAGCGCCAGCACACAGTAGGGGCGCAGCAGACGTTAGCTTGCTCTGAATCCCTGTGAAGCTTCCTGACCTTCCCTCCCACCACCAAGCCAGAGGTGGCATCACCTCCCATGACTCCTCCCACGTGACTTGCTTTTCCTTGCTGGCGGCCCATGCAGACTGCAAAGTTACACGGTAGTGGGGGAGCAAGTGCTGGAGAAATGCTTACAGGGCCTGCGGGCATCCTGGTGGGCCAGCGTCGTCAGGGCGGGGACTGCGGAACCCTGCATGTAGTCAGTCACTGCCAGCGGAGCACAAGCCCTGCTTTTCTTTCTTTTTCATTTTTTTAGTTTTTGTAGAGATGTGGTCTTGCTATGTTGCCCAGGCTGGTCTCGAACTCACGGACTCACGCAATCCCCACCTTGGCCTCGCAAAGTGCTGGAACTGCAGACGTGAACCACTGCGCCCAGCTTGTTTTTCAAGAGAAATTAGGAATGCAGACTTGCATGTGAAACCACCCACTATAAAATATTGGCGACAAACTCAATAATAATAATGAAATCACTGTGGGAACCAAATAAAATACATTGAAGGGCCAATTTGGCCCTGGGGCTCCCAGCTTCTGACTGCTGCACTAGCAGCAGAGCGTGCGGGTGTGAACCCAAGCTCTGGCCTCTACTTCACCCGTGACCGTGGCCGGTGCAGCCTCCTCTGTGCGTCGAGGCTCCTCACTGATGAAATGAGTGCAGTAATAGCTAGCGTTTAGTGACAGCCTCCTGGGTGTCGGCTGCCATTCTTTCTGTGCAGCAACCTTTCCAGTCCTCTCAGGAACCCAGCGAGGTCAGGACTGTTGTCAGCCCTGGGTCTGAGAACCATGTGTGAGCCGGGCATTCTGGCTCCAGAGGCGTCCCTGTGAACCGCTGTGCTAGTCTGGCCGCCTCGTTGCAAAGATCATCAGGAGTCCTTATATAAGGACATGTCACGCTGCCTTTCCCAGAATAAGCACACAGGTGTCAGCACATATAGGCATCCTGCCCTGTGTGGCTGTTTTGCACGTACTCGTCCATTTGCCCCCGTGAACACGGCAGCTCCTTGAGGGTAAGGGGTGTCCTCTTTGGAGCCTTCCAGATTGGTTCAGTGATTTGAAGCAAAGTGAGGAAAAGTTTTGGGGGAGGGGTGCAGAGAGCCTTCCCAGCCCCCTGCTCCTGCACCCCTGCCCAGCCTGCCTGTGCTGGCTTTGTGAGGGACCCCAGAAGAACAGAAGGCGCTGTCCCTGCCCCGAGATCCATCAGGAGCCCAGCGCGAAACAGGAAACAATTAGCAGAGAGCTGAGAAAAGCATGTCATTGTGCGTATGAGTATAGGGCGCAGCAAGGCTGGGACTGGTTAACAGGCCCCTGTGGTTGGGGTTAATTTTTTTAATAGTGCTCCGAAGACATCAGACGCTGAGATTACCAAGATGGGCCTTCCCGTCTGCTTCTGATTACCCAGACGCCCGGTGGCCAGTGCAAGGCCATTAACCACCAGTCTTTGATCCAGGAACAGTCCTGCCAGCTCCTCCCATGCGGCCCCTTCCCCTCCTCCCCTCCCCACCAGCCCGCAGACGCGTCCCAGGGCTTGGTGTTTATGAGCTCCGGTGACCCCTCTTTTCTGTCTCTTGTGCAGAAATGGAAGCTCCATTCTCGCAGGCGCCGGGAGGCTCCGAAGACGTCTCCAGGATGTAACTGCCCACCAGGTAAGGAGCCCTGCAAACGGGTGAGCTTGGGCATTCCTAGGACAGGGACCAGAGGCTCTTCCAGGTGGCCATGCTCTAGCCACACCAGGCCGTCGCTTGTCATTTGAAAGATGGGAATGACAGTATCTGTGGTTGCCTCCCATCTACTCACTGAGCAGCCTGCCCATTCCCCATCCACCGTCCAGCCAGCCATTTATCATTCATTCATTCGCAACTCTTCTGTGGGCCTGACACTCTTTGAACCAGGTTGTGGTAAGGTAAGAGAGGATGATGGGTGTGTCTCTGTCTTAAAGTTAGGAAGCGCTATGCAGAGTGGAAGGGAAGATCCACCCCATGAATTCATTCATTCGTTACCCGAATGAATGAACGACCTCATAAATGTCAGGCCCTGTTTGCCATGGCTAGCTGGCTTAGGGTGGTGCGTGTTCACTGCACGGCCTCTAGGCTACGTGCACACACATGTGCTTACTCACCGGGGAGTCAGACACAAGCTAAAGGTTGAAAGCGATGTGGTGTAGTATAGTCAACTGGTCTAATCTGGATTCAAATTCTGCTTTCGCACTTATGAGCCCTGTCTGGGCAGAACCCTGCCCCGCCTACTCTAGAGCTCTCTCCTCTTTCTGGTGGGGACTGCTCCTCAACCGCGTCTATCCATCTGTATAGCAGCTATGGGCAAGGGTCTGCCCCGTACTGGGTGCTGGGTTCAAGTGCATCGTCCACAGTGAAGGCCAATGATAAGTGACAGTTCATGAGAACTCTTCTAGGTCCCTGGCCATTATTGTTACGCTCTGAGAATGACAGATGGGTACATTTTGCTGTTCCCTTGAGTTACTAGAACTGGCTGTACCCCTTTGGGGGGGGGAAGGAAGCCCTTAAAAAGGGTTGGAGGAGACAAGGTAACATATTTAAGTAATCACAGAGAGCTTTGCCCTCCTCTGGGCCTCTGCCCGCTCGGAGTGTGGCCTCTCCGACATGCACTGTCGCAGGTGGCATTGGCTGGGCTCCCTGGCAGGCCCTCCTCTGGCCACAGGAGCCGAGGAGCCCTAGCCACACTCACTCAGGGTCCCCAAGCCAGGGAAGTCAGGCTGACAGATGTTGAGCATATGGGAAATGCAGGGACCATATTCGTGAGTGGGCTGGGCTGTGAGTCGTGGTTCCGGGATGCTGCCCCGGGGACAGTGAGACCATGAAGGGATTCAGCTGGCCCTGGTCAGAAGAGGGTCGTCTGGGTTAATTAAAAGGATGTCCAGAAGCCCTGGGAAGCTCCCCCCCTCCCTCTGGGCCCAGGAGATTGGGCCCTGGGGTCTGGGAAAGCTTTCAGGAGAGGAATGCCAAGATTAATGAGATGCGGTGGAGGCGAGGGTGGGGTGATGGGGCCTGGGCAAGGTGGCCACGTGCATCGGTGGAGCCCAAGTTTCAAGTAATCATGTCTGTTGTCCCAATAAATCTTGGACAATGACAACCAATTTTTGATCAAAGCATAGAATGTTGGTTAAAGGCAGGAGATTTAGAGCCACGGACGACATAGGTTTGAATTCCATCTCCAATATTTCCCAGCTGTGTACCCTTCGGAGTGTTGTTTAACCTCTCTGTGCCTCGGCTGCTTTGTCTGAAAATCAGGGATAATAGCAATAGCCTCCTTGCAGGGATGTGGTGGAGATTCAGTGAGGTAACCCTGGAAAGCACTCAGCACCTTGCCTGGGTCCCAGCAAGCACTGTTATCACTTCCTGAACTGCCTCTCGCACTTCAGAGGTGCACAGAGAGCCTATGGAATGCCGCGTCCTGGGGTTCCAGGCGGTGTGGGCTGCGCATTTAGGGCCAGGCAGAGGCTTGCCTGTCTCCCTTTCCTGCCTGGTTGGGGAAAACACAACAGCTGTCTCATGGCCTTCAAACGTCCTGCCCGCCATGACAGTGGGTGCCTGACCAATAAATAGGTCTCAATTTTGTGCGTCAGAAATTCTGGCTCAAGTAGTCCTGGGGAGGCCAGGAGCTGGGGAGGGATGTGGCAGGAGGAAGGAAGGACTGGGCAGAGCACTGTCCCCGCCTTGCCTGCTGGGAGTCTGCGTGGGACCTCTGGGCTTGGACAGTGAGGAAAAGGTTCAGAAGGTCGAGGGTCAAGGGATACCGTGGAAGAAGGAAGGGCTTGACACGGTCCTCCGAGGGGAGGAGACCCCAGCAGGGACTGAGCTGGCCAGACATGGGAGGAGAGAGGGCAGGGCTCCTGGAGGGGTGTCCCCATGTGTTCAGAATTTCCCAGAGGGCAGTTTGGCCCAAAGTACAGATCAGAACTAGCTGGGCAACACCAGAAGGATTTAAAGAGAAGGACCAAAATTGAGGCAAAATCACAGGGTACTAAGATGCTCTCCCAGCTTTTTGGGGACTCAGGCAGAGAAGGACTGGAATGGCTACAAGAGGCATCTCACATCACGGGCTAGGTCCTGCCGGATCCCTGCGCCTGCCTCTTTCTGACCCACCTGAGGCTTCTCTTCCCTTGGGGCAGTAACCTCCTCCACACCAAACCCACCCTATCGTAAATAATAGCAGTTACTGTTGCTGCCCCCTAACTGAGCTCCTACTATGTGCCAGGCACAGTACTAAGCACTTCATATTGATGGGTAACCTTCCTCAAAACACTAAAGATAGGTAAAGTGGAGTTCTAACATTCTGAAATATTTGAAAATCCTCAAATTCATGAGGAAAGCATCACTCTCATTCTTGCATGTACATCATGCATCTCTGATTTTTCCCTGAGGGTCAGAGTTTGTAAACCACTCTACGGACCACTTCGTGGCTCCTGATGCTTGCAGAAGGACTCATATGATTGTCAAGTGCCATTAACAGATTCAAAGCATGATTCACTCTTGTCTTGCCAGCACCTAGTACTGTAGCCCATACATAGTAGATGCTCAGTGAATGTTCAATAGAGAATCATTCCTGATGATTGGATTCTTTCCCACGTTCTCCATCTGCCATCTGATTGGGTTCAGATGCTGTATCCACTCCACCCCAAGCCTTGCCTGATGCTGAATTCACCGCTGTTGGGAAACAACAAATAACACAGTCTTCCTGCCCACTGTGGCCACTGGGATTGAAGCCTGGATCCTCAAATCTGTGCCTGTCCCCAGTTTGCCCCTGTGGCCAGTGAAGCCGAGGCCAGAGTCCTGTGGTGGGTGTGTCCTTCCTTGCTGCAGCCTTGGGCCCCAGGGCGGCACCCAGAGGGGCTTGGGACACATAATCGTGGGCAGAAAACCTGCCTCCTTCCCTTTCTACTCTGACTTTGCCAGTATCCTCCCAGGATCCTCCCTGTCCCAAAATAGCCAGGCACTGGCTGAGATCTGGCTGCATCCTGCTTCTGGGCTGCATGTGCTGTTTGCCAGGGAGCGATGGGCTTGCAGGCCTGGGACGGGATGCCAAAGGTCAAGCCTAAATCAGGAGGGTCACGGCGGCCAGAAGTTCAGAGGAATAGGTGTGGGCCGTTTGCAGAGCATATGGTCTGGTGGGGCAGGAGAAGGGCCTTGGGAACACATATATATACCGTGGGACTTTCTAGGCCACTTGAGAAAAACACAAAGACCAGGGAAACTCTCCCATTCTCTGTCCCTGTGCTTATTAACAAATGACGAGCAGGACAATATAGGTCGTAGCTGGCAAGGAAGCAGCTACTTGAGGCCCGCCATGCAGGGGCTGGGTGGGGCTGGCAGTGCAGGGGGTGGTACGGTGTTGCACACAGAGGGAGCCATGACCAGGGCATGCTGCTGGGGACAATCACTGCACTCTTTGAGCCTCATCTAAGGGGCAGTACCGCCATAACTGGCACTTGTAGGAGAATGGGCGAAGGCGGAGCAGTTGTCTTTACACGGCCGTGCTTTGGGTCGGTGTGCTGGTGAGAGGAGCATGTGCAGTGCCAGGGAGCCCGAGGAGCTCGGGACTCCAGGAAAGGTTCACTGAGGAGGTGGCACTGGAGGGTGGCCACAAGGAACAGAGATGCAGGTGGGAGGGCATACGGTTAGGGCATAGACTCAGCTGCCACCATAGCAAAAGACCTTCAAATACAGGGACTTAAGGTAGAGGCATAAGCCTGTCTTCCTTAGCAGGCCAGAGGAGAGTAGTCTAGGGTTGGGAGGTGGCTTTGCCATCTTCATCTTGTGGCTGCTACCTCTGGTCCCCTGGAAGATGCTTTGGTCCCCACCATCCCCTGGCCAGCACGAAAGGGGAAGGGAGCAAGGGGAGTGGGTGCTCAAACCCTCAAGAGCAAAACTTGAAAAAAGAGACACGCATCACTTCTGCTCATGCCCCGTCGGCTAGAACTTAGTCGCATGGCCACCCTCAGGCCTGAGGGAGGCCAGGCAATATTTTCACCTGGGCGGCAATATTTTCACCTGGGCGGCAATATGCCCAGATAGATTTTATTACTATAGGAGCTGGGAGAACAGATGTTGAGGAATAACCAGCAATCTGCCTCGAGGGCATTCCAGGCTGGCTGCGGCACTGTCACAGGAGTGAGAAAAAGGCTGGTATGTTTAGGGATGACAGCAGTTTAAGGAATCTGGAGCCCAGAGCAGTAAGGGGACATGAGGGTGGAAGGAGACATCAGAGCACCAGGCTAAGGAGTTCTAGCTCTTTCTGTTCAATAGGAGGCAGATGTTTTTGTCCTGAGGGTGATTGATTGGTAATGCCTGCCTGGAGGGCTGTGCTGAGTCAGCGCCTAAGGCTGTATCCAGGTTCAGCAGAAAATGTGGTAATTGCTTAATGATGTCTGCCATGGGTGCCGGAGTGGTGGGCAGCAGCTCCTGCCCTGGCTGTGCTATGCTCACAGAAGATGATGTGGCATCAGAGATTTAGGGAGCAGGGATGTGTCCTGATCCAATGTGTGTTCTAGAACAATAACTAGTAGTGATGTGGAGGCTGGCTTGGAGGGCAAAGCAGCTGTTTCCAGCAACACAAGTCTGTGATCCTATGAACAGGGCTTTATTTTCTCACGAGCTACTATTTATGTTCG